ATGACGTTAAATTTTATACATCACATCATGATAAAGAACATTGTTTTCCAGAGACAAAAGGAAGGTTTCAAGTATTTGTTCATGGAGATTTCCTTCCAATTACATTATTTGGATATTTTTATATTTTCTTTGCTACAATAAGAGCACTTTATTTATCAATAATTGTAGCATGGAAAACTAATGCAGACATTTATATTGTTGATCAAATTTCAATTGGAGTTCCAATATTAAAATTATTTAATAAAAAAGTATTATTTTATTGTCATCATCCAGACAAATGTCTTTGTAAGGAAGGAGGATTTATGAAGAAAATATATAGAATTCCATTTGATTGGTTAGAAGAAAAATCTATGGGACTAAGTGATTCAATTGTAGTAAATAGTTTATACACACAATCAGTTTATGAAAAAGCATTTCCAAGTCATTCAAGAACACCACAAGTCCTTTATCCAACTTATAATCCTATTTTAGAAGAATCTATGAATAGTGAAAGTCCATTTGAAGAAGAACCTAAAGAAGAATTTTGGTTTATTTCAATTAATAGATATGAAGGAAAGAAGAATCATAAAGTAGCACTTGAAGCATTAAGTTTATTAGAAGATGATTTAAAAAATAATGTTAGAATTATCATTGCTGGTGGTTATGATCTTAGAGTAAAAGAAAATAAAGATGTTTATAATGAATTAGAACAACTTTCACATCAATTGCATATTGAAAGTCATGTGTCTTTACTTAAAAACTTCTCAAATGAAGAACGTGAATATCTTTTTAAAAAAGCTACTGCTGTGTTATACACTCCTCCATTTGAACATTTTGGTATTGTTCCATTAGAAGCAATGATTAAAGGAGTACCAGTAATTGCATGTAATAATGGTGGTCCATTAGAAACAGTACAAAATGAATTAACAGGACTTCTTTGTGATGGAACTAAAGAAGGATTTGCAAAATGTATCTCTCGATTATGTCGTGACAATAACTTAAGACAAAAGTTAAAGTCAAACGCTAAGAAAGCAACTAAAGAAAAGTTTGGGTTTGAGACATTTACAAAGAACGTATCAGAGGTTGTACATAAAGTCATATCAAATTAAATAAATTCTACTTCCACACATTTTTAAGTTATTTAATAAAATTTGTGTTATTTCAATCTTAAAAATTTTATAGAAAAAAAGGAAAAATATATAATAAAACCATAGAAAAGAACTTAAAAATAAAAATAAAAAAAAAAACTGATGACAACAACAAATGAAAAGAGAGGATTTAATCTTTTAACAGAATTTTGTAAAGAAAAGAAGAAACAAATTGAAATAAGAATCATGTATAATGTAGAAAATAATTGTTTCAATGTAAATGTTTTAATTGATCAAACAAGTGTTATAAATACTAGTTATGAGAAAATAGAAAATAATTTTAATGATATTATTGCATTACAAACACTTGTTATAATAGATAATTTTAATGCAAGAAAATACAGTGATTTAATAATGGGATTAAATGAAGAACCATTACCTAAATTGAGAGATACAGTGATTTGTCCTAAAATGCCAGAATCACTTTCTATTTTAGTAAAACCTAAAACAAAAACAAAAGAAACAGAAAGAAAATCATTTAGATTGGATGAAAGAAGAAGAGAAGAATTTAATAAAAGAGAGAATCTTCCAATGGCAAATAGAGAGGAAAAAGAAGTTGAACAAACCATAGAAAGAATATGTTCTCGAATAGGAAGATCATTAGAACTTAGATTTAATGAAATTAAAGGAGGGTATGAATGTTTTGTAAGATTAAATGAATTTTCAGCAATAGCAGTTTCAGATAGAAAATATGATGCTAAATGCATTGCTTATATGTTACTTCTTAAAAAAATTTTTTCAAATACTCGTTCTAATGGTGAGATAATGAAAATTGTTAGATCTCAACAATTATCTGATACTTTAATTTCTTTATTAAATGTTCGTCCACCAATATATGCACCACCATTACAACAACAACCAATAATGCCACAATACCCCAGTTATTATTCTACATTCAATTCATCTACTGGTTATATTCCACAACAAAACCAACAATATTCATACAATCCATATAAATGAAGGGAAAAGGAAGAGAGAGGGTGTGTATCTAAAAACGAATATAAAAAATAATTAATTAAATATTTGAATTACTAATTATAATGGTTTTACAATGAGATTAGGTAAATTTGATTTATTAAGAATTATTATTGTATTTGATCGAGAATATGTTAAAGTACAAATTGATTTTGGAAGTACTAAAGGTTGTATTTCACATTGTACAATTTTCAAATCTCTTAATGTACATTGCTCATTACTTTTTATAATTAATTTACCACATCGTGCAATATCAACTTTTTGAATAAAATTAGGAAGTTCTAATTCATTAATTTTTGGACATTTCCATAGAGTTAATGCAGTAAGATGTGTAAGAGTTTTAATATCAATAGAATCACATTGACAATCAGTTATAGAAAGATTTTGTAATAATGAAGGAAATGTTAAATTTTGAGTTAATTGACTTGTGATAGTTAAATACTGTAAACTAGTATACTGATTATATTGTAACTCATTACAACCAGATAACGAAAGTCTTGATAAAGCATTAAGTTGAATTGGTGGAATAAAAGTTTGAATAGCTTTAATCTTTCTAAGAGTTGAAGCAAATGATAAATTTAAAAGTTTATTGCGAGAAACAAAAATAGATTTCATTGTAGATGGACAACTAAATGATTTAAGAACTGGGTTATCAGTTAATTCTAATTTTTTTAATTGAGCTAAGTTAGTATCAATAGATGTTAATATTTTACAAGAACAAATAGCTAACATAGTGATTGTTGTTGGAATAGTTAATGTTTTTAATTCATTACATCGAAATAATTTAAATTTATGAAGAGAGCATGATGTTATATTAGGAAATGAAAGTATTGGAGCACTTGAGAATGTGACATCATTAATATTAGTTGGAAGCATTGGATAGGATAATGTATGTGCAATAGAAATTAATTTAGTTAAAGGTAAATTTAGTTTATGAAGATTTGGGATTGTATGAATAATAGAATGAATACAAGTTAATGAACTAACAGTGACTGGTAATGTTAATGAATCTATTGAACATGATTCAATAGTTACATTTTCTAAACAAACATAAGTAAAATTTAATGGTGGTAAAGAGCATTGATGGAGTTTTAAAGTGTTAAGAGAGGTTGGAATAATTAATTTATTTAGACAATTTAATCCACTAATAATTAATGAATGAATTGAAGTACAATTAACAGAATAGATGTCATGTTCGATATTTTGATTACAAAGAATATGAAGGTTTAAGGGACGAATATATTTATGATGAAGGTTTTCAATAAAAGTATCATCAGAACTAGTAATTGTTAAATATCCAAAATGATGTAATAATATAACATATCCAGGTATCTCTTCTAACGTATTTGAATAAATACCAATAACAACTCCAATTTGGTTTAATCTATTTAATAATGAAATATGAACATTTTCTATTTCATGTAATTTACAAATGATTTCTTTTTTTTGAAGAATTTTATTTTTCTCTAATTCAATAACAACTTCTTCTAAATTACTTCCAAAACATTCTACAACTATTTTATGTAATACTGGAAGATGTGCTAATTCTTCTCCATCAAAGACAGATGATACAACACTTTCTTTTGATATTAAAATATGTAATATTCTCAATGCCTTACAAACACTTAAATCGACTCTAGAATAATGGTGTGTTGTAATATATAATTCTGAACACATACCCATCCATCGAATAACCGAATCATTATCTCTACTAACTAACAAAACTCCACTAATATAAACAACACTTTGAGGAATAGGTATTTCATTAAGAATAGTTAAGTTACACTTAAGTGTTTGTAAATGTGGAAGAAATCTAGACAACCTTTCAAGAAAACTTCTTGTAGGTTTAGTGTCAGAAATTTTATATGGAATAATATGTAACATTCCAACTGCTTCTTTACAAGTATGAGAAATACTCATAAATAATTTAAGATTTTTCGTTGTATCAAAATATAATGCAACATTCATAAGATAAATTGCTTCAAGTTTAACCATTGTATAAGAACGACAATTTAAAATCTAAATGAATTTATAGTTTTCTTTTATTTTTTCTTTTATTTTTTATTCTTAAAAAAGAAAAAAAAAGATTTTTCAAATAAAAATTTAATTCAATCAAAGAAATCATATTTTGATACCTGACAAGAATGCTACCAATGAAAAGTCTTCATTAAATAATTCGTCTACTGGTCCCCACATCTTTTCAATTGTTTCTTTTAAATTAGTTAATTCATGATAATATTTAGAAAGATGTTTCATCATTTCTCTAATATGAGTTCTTAAAGTAACTTGAGTAATTGTAATAATAAAATCATAATTACGAGAAGTATTTAATTCTTCATTTAAAAATTTAAGAAAAGTATTAAGATGTTGATAATTATTATTTGATAAATTTCTTATTTCTAAATCAATATGAGATGAATTTAAACTCATTAAATATGTTAATATTGCTTCATTTGATTCTGTTAAATGTAAAAGTAATGTTGATTCCATTAATGAAGGTTGATTTGATAACAATTTTGAATCTGCTTTTAGAGGTTTAAAGATAGTGTCAGAGTGTTGATTAATTGGAATAAAAAATGGTATCTCAACTGGGTTTAATCTTGTTTGTTCAATTTGCATTTCTTTTCTAAGACGATCTAATTCTGGTAAATTAATCCATTTAGCAATAGGATTATCTGTTGCTTCTAATAATATAGTTGTTTCACGTATTTCTTGAGCTTCAGTTTCCATTTTAACATTAATATCATCATAACAATAATTCTTGATATTAGTAGAATCAGACAATTCACTTTTATAAAATCTAATATAATAAGGTTTACTTGGTGTATCAAGAAGTATATTAGAAAAGTAATCTCTTAAATAATAAACTTGTAATTCAAATGACTTAGAAAGATAACATACAAAGAATCTACCATCTGCACTTATATCCATAGAAATAACTGCTGAACTAAATCTTATAACATCAACTATTTTCATTGTAATAATGTCATAAACTGTAAGACATCCATTTGTATAAGAAACAAATACAAAATTACCATTTGTATTTAATTTAATGTTTGATGCAATTCCTCTCATATCTGTTTGACGAATTATTTTTCTTGTGGTTAAATCAAGAATCATTAATTCATTAGAAGCAGTTGTAATAGCACAAAGATTATTCTTTTTATTAAATGAAAAATGAGTAATTCCACTTAAAATATTCACAATAGTATCAATCAATTCTCCTGTTTCAAAATTCCATAATAATACTTTTCCATCCATAGATGAACTTATTAAATATTTGTTATTTGAATCAACTGCTAACCCTGTTATTTCCATTTTATGACAATTAAATATACATTTATGTTCTCCACTTTGAACATTAAATTTATCAATTAATCCTTGAGAATTTCCTATACAAACAAAATTTCCACAATGTGAAAAACAACAATATGTTGTATGACATATTTCATTAACTTGAACTTCAAGTTCAGGTGCACTTGAATGTTGAAACTTTTTATTAGGATTTCTTTTATCAACAATAGAACTACGCATTTTATTATCTCCTATTCTCATTTTTACAATATCCCATGTAACAGCTAAATTCTTTCCATTATGAGTAGTGACAACAGTATCTCTTAAAAGATAATACCTTTCATTTACGTCAATACAATTTACTTGATTTAATTTTAATTTTGATTGTTCTATTCCCATTCTTTTTGCTTTTATAGAAACTTTTTGTGAAAATTCTTTTGTTAACATTGGATTAAATAAAGAACTACTTCTAATACTTCCATCAACTGATCCTGTAATTACATTATTACCTGTAATCTTTACATAAATTGGTTTCATTGGATGACCAGATCGTTCTCTAATTAATGCAGGAATTAAACTACCACTAGATGGATCAATGACATATTGTCTAATAGCATTATCATCTCCTACTGAATAAAAATGTAATTCATTTGGAAAAGTAATAAGAGTATGAACACGAGCAGTATGGTGGAATAAAGATCCAACAATAACACCAGTTTTAATTGAGAAGATATTAATAAACCCATTAATACAACCAACAACTAAGAATAAATCATCATTTGGTAATCCACTAATAAAATTAATTGCTGTAGGTTGATGAGAATTAATAAGTGAACATATTTTTTTATTTTGTTTTAAATTAAAAATTTGAATTTCACCTGATTCTAAAGCAATTGCATGAATATCAACATCTGGTGATTGTGCAATTCCAACAATTTTTTCTGGGAATTTAAAAGTAAATAAAAGTTTTTCAGTATTAACATTCATTAGATATAATTGATTTTCATATGTTAATGTAATTTTATTTAAATATTCTCTTGGATGAAATATTACTGGTGACTCACATGGAAGCGAAATTTTCTTATAAATTTTATGTGTATCAATTGTAATAATTATTAGTCTACTTTCTGTTGAAATAATTAAATGATCTCCAAAAAGTAATGACGATGAAATTGTTCCTTCAATACTTACTTCATTAAATGTTTGAACTTCTCCTTCAAAATAAACTGAGTGTTTTGTTACTACTATTGCTTGATAATTTCTCATATAAACTGCCATAACACGTTCTTTAAATTCTTGTGAACGATATAAAAAATCTAATTTATGTGTAATATCATATGAAATAAATGAATGTTCTACTGGAACCATTAAATGTAATAATTTCCCAACACTACAACATGTTGCATGTTGATTTCCAGCAAATAATCCTAATGTTCTAAAACATCTAAGTAAATTGGATTGTGTAACAAAATTCTCAGTCATTGAATAATAAATTTTAGAAGTATATTAACCCTAATATATAGGGTTGTATATTACTTTATTCTTATTGATTCAAAAAATACTTTTCATTTAAATTAAGAAATTGAATTATAATTCATCTCTCTCTTCTTCTTCATATCTTTCTCTTCCAAAATAATCTTCTTCTTCATTTTCTTCTTTTCCTTCATTAAAACTTTCATCAGCTCTATGATGTACTCCTCCGTATCTTCTTAAAATTGGATGAACAATTTGTTCTAATTTCTTATACATTTCTTCACATTTTTCTACACTTGGATGCATTTCACGTTCTAAGAAATCGAGAACCTCATCAACACCATCTAAAATAATCTTTTTATCACTCTCTTGTAATTTATCAGCTAATTTATCTTTATCAATTACTTCATCTCGAACTTTATATGCATAATTTTCTAATTCATTTCTTGATTCAATCATTTTTTTTGCTTTGTTATCTTCTCCTGATCTTTCTTGAGCTTCTTTAACCATTCTTTGAATTTGTTCTTCAGTTAATCTTCCTTTTTCAGATGTAATAGTAATTTCTTCTTTCTTTCCTGATTTTTTATCTTGTGCAGAAACTCTTAAAATTCCATTAACATCTACATCAAAGGTAACTTCAATCTTTGGAATTCCTCTTGGTGCTCTTTTAATTCCTTCTAACATGAATTTTCCTAATAAATGGTTGTCTTTAGTCAAACTTCTTTCTCCTTCAAATACTTGAATTTCAACTTGTTCTTGGTTATCTGTATGGGTAGTAAAAATTTGACTTTTCTTTGTTGGTACATGTGTTCCTCTTGGAATAATTGATGCCATAACACCTCCTGCTGTCATAATACCTAATGTTAATGGTGTAGCATCTACTAATACAACATCATTTGTTCCTTCACTATTATTTAAAACTGCTCCTTGAATAGCAGCTCCATGTGCAACAGCTTCATCTGGATTAACACCTTTGTTTGGTTCTTTTCCATTAAAGAATTCTTGTAATAATTCTTGAACTTTTGGAATACGAGTAGATCCACCAACAAGTACAATTTCATCTACATCCTTTTTATCTAATTTAGCATCATCTAAAACCATTCTAACTGGTCCAAGTGTTTTTTTAAATAAATCAAGATTTAATTCATTAAATCGAGCTCTTGTTAAAACAAAAGAGAAGTCAAGTCCTTCCATTAACCCTTCAACTTCAATTTTTGTTTGTTCTTCACTACTTAAAGCAATTTTAGCTTTTTCAGCTTCTTTTCTTAATTTACTCATTGCTCGTGGATTATTAGAGGGATCTTTTTTAAATTTCCTTTTACAAATTTCAACTAAGAATAATGCAATCCTTTGATCAAAATCACTTCCACCTAAATGAGTATCTCCTGATGTTGCGATAACTTCAAACACATTGTTTTCAATATTTAATAATGATACATCAAATGTTCCTCCTCCAAGATCAAATACTAAAATTTGTTTCTCTCCTTTAAAACTATTTAGTCCAAATGCCATTGATGCTGCTGTTGGTTCATTAACAATTCTTAAAACTTCTAATCCAGCAATAGTACCTGCGTCTTTTGTTGCTTGTCTTTGTGCATCATTGAAATAAGCTGGAACAGTAATAACAGCTTTTTTAACTTCTTTTCCAAGATAGTCTGATGCAGTTTTAGCCATTTTTTGAATAATCATAGCACTTATTTCTTCTGGTGAATAAATTTTTTCATCACCTTTTAAAGTAACTTTAATGAATGGTTTATTATCTTGATTAATAATATTAAATGGAAAGATATGTAAATCTCTTTGAACTTCTTTATCATCATACGTTCTTCCAATAAGTCTCTTAATCTCAAATATAGTGTTCTTTGGATTTTCTGTTATTTGGTTTCTTGCTGCCTCCCCAACAAGAATTTCATGGTCAGTAAATGCTACAACTGATGGTGTAATTCTATTACCTTGGTCATTGGCAATAATTTCTACTCCACTATCTCTATAAATACCAACAGCAGAAAAAGTTGTACCAAGATCAATACCAATAATAACGTCATTATTTTGTGCAAAAGAACAAATGCAAAGGGTTAATAACAATATTAGCATTATTTATTATTATTTAGTTTTTTTAAATTTTATGAAGAAGACATTATTGTATTTATAACATAATATTAACAAAAGTCAAAAAAAGAACTGATCTAATTATATTTATTCTTATAACTATGCGTTCTCTTTTCTTTTTATTAATTGCTTTGTTTTTAAATGTTTATGCTAAAGACAGTTTTGAAACAGAAACCAATTTTGATTTTGATGAAGATTATGACTATGATGAGGAGTTTGATCTTGAAGACGATGATATGGAAGATGAATATGAAGAAGATGAATTAGAAGATGAAGAAGATGAGGATTATGAATTTGATGAAGACGACTTTGAAATTAATGAAGATGGATATGAAGAAGATGATGAGGAAGAAGATGAAGGTGATGAGGAAGAAGATGAAGGTGATGATGAATTAGAAGAGGATGATAATGAAGAAGGTGATGAGGAAGAAGATATTAAAATTGTTTCTGCTGGCTATCTTTAAATAAATTACTTCAAAATAATGATTTAAAGTAACTTTTTATAAATAAAAATAAACGAAAAACTAACTATCATCTTAAAGCAAAAAGAACTTAAATTAAATAATAAACTATGTTCAAATTTATTATACTCTTTTTAATAATTACTGTTATTGCTGGAAACCAAGATTTTTATTCATTTCTTGATTCTATCGACAATGAAATTGAAGACATTGAAAATGAAAACGATGCTATCAGTGATACTAACAACGAAGAATATGAATTAGAAGAGGATGATGATCAAGTTCCAATGCAATTTCATCCGGTAAAGATATAAATACACATTTTTGTTATAAGAATTTAAATAATTTATTTTAAATAATAAAATAATTAATAATAAAACAATAATTAAAATAAAAAAAAATAAAAAAGAAAAAAAAACATAAAATCAAACCAATTTAATGGACAATATTTCATTTCCTGCATATGTTGATATGTCATTTATTATTACATGTTGTTTAATATGTATTTCATTATATTATTTAAAGAAACCCAAATTATATTTTAGAGGATGTATATTAGCAATAATAGGAGTGTTATTATCATTTGTTGTAGTATCAATTTGGCAAATAGTAACAATTTCAGATATTAAATTAATTGCTATCTTTATTTCACCGATAATTTTAGGAATTGTTATTGGAGTAGGGATATTATCTAAATTTAAAGTATTTCAATTTCCATTATTTATTTGTATATTATCATTGTTTGGTTCAGTGTCATCATTTGTATTAATTACAGGGGATTTTTTAACTCCAATTTATTTTAATACATCTCAAAGACCAAAAAATCAGTTATTTTATTTATTAATGGTAGAAGTTTGTTTAGGAATGTGGTCAAGTGTATCAGGAATAATAGGTTATTTAGTAGTCATTTTTAAACTTCTTAAATTACTTCCTCATTATAAATTAAGAATACCTTTAAGAAGTTTCTTTGTTGTTTTTACCCTTATTTTATCTATTATTTTATCTTCATTTATTATTTTAGTTAATGATAATACTGCTAAACTTGCATTATATTGGACAACTGCATTGTTAATAGCATTATGTTCATTTATTACAATGATGGTTGATCAATCAGATCTTTCTATAATGATGGGTATTTTACAATCATTGAGTGGATGGACTGTAGTTGCAGTAGGATTAATAAGAAATAACAATACAGTAGTATTTTGTGGAAGTATTGTAGGAATGTATTTTATAGTTACTTTACTTGACTCATGTCAGGCAAAGAAAATATCATTACTTTCAATGATTTTTGCGAATAAACTTACTTCAAATGATGTTGATTTTTTAAAACGTAAAATAGATATTCCACAAATTGATTTAAAAGAAGTAAGTGAAATGTGTTTGGATGCACAAAATATAGTTATAATACCAAGCCATTCATTAATTCAATCACATTCTCAAATCTTATTAAATGATTTAGTTGAATTATTAAAACAAAAAAATAAAAATGTAAAAATTGCTATTCATCCAACAATTGAATTAATGAGAGGATTTATAGAAATTCTTATGGTTATTGGTCATATTGATTCGACTACTTTTTGTTCATTTGAAATAAATAATAGTTTTTTAGATGTTGATCTTGTCTTAATTTGTGGTGATTGTAGAATGACTCCTTATTCAAAAGCTAATTGGAAAAAATTTGAAACAACAAAGGCACTACATTCTATTGTTTTATCTGAAATTCAGTTAGTAGAGCAAAACGAGCAAAATGTTTATTGGTGTCACTCACCATTATATACAGGTTTTGAAACATTAATTAACAATTTACGACATAATAATTATTAATACTATTATCAATTAATTTACTATAAGTTATTAATTTTTCAATTTTAGAAATAAAAGTAATATGTTATATATAACAAAAACAATTTTGTTTGATATTTATTACCACTTTTGTCTATTTCATCATTATTACTCTTTTTATATTATATTTTTGATGTTTGTTCTTAAGTTATTTATTTTTATAAGACTATAATAAACTATTTTTATTATTAGTTACGTTGAGAGAGTTAATGTTAATAATACTCTTAAGTTTTTTTATTCCTACATCATTTTAAATATATAATTTTTAGTTTGTATAATTTGGTGAAGTGTTGTTATGACAAATATGTTTGTTTGAGTTTAATATTCATAATAAAGTTATGTATCAAAAAAAAATTAATTTTTATATTTTAAATGTTTAATTTAAAGAATCAAAATAAAAAACACTAAGAATGAAAATAATGAATATGATAAGAGAAGACCTATTATTTTAGTCAAACATACTTTGTTTTCTTCTTTTTAGTTATAGCCAAAAGTTATTTTAATGCAAAAAAATTATTTGATTAAAGTAACATTTTATTTTCATTTAAGTACTAACATTCATTTCCTTTTATCAAATAAATATTCTTGTTCAATATTTTTTTCATTTAGTTGATAAGTAGATAATTATTAATGAATTATTTAGAGTCTCTCACTCTAAATGAACTACCAAAAATGGTAACTAAAACAATTTAAAAAAAATTTTTTAATTGAAATATTCGAATATTTCTATTTTTAATTAAAAAACTCGTACAATAAAATTATGACTATTTTTGAGTGATTTGAATTGTATTCTCAAATAAAATTTTTTTTTAAAATGCCTATTTCATTAACGATAAGCTATTTTTATTTTAGGAATACAAAATAAAATGATTTATTACTAAATATGAAACACTTTTGGTTTTTTTAAAAAATGTAAAAAAGATGCAGTATTTAATTTGAAAGATGTAAAAAAGGTTCATAATAGTTTTCTATTTATAGAATATCAAAAGAAACGATGAAAATAATAAAATAATAGTAAATAATAATATTAAGAAATAGAATATACAATTGATCAATTGACTTCTTCTAAGAAGAAACGAGCGAATGGAGATGAAGGGTGTTCAATAGGTGTTGATGAAAAAGATTGAATATCAACACTTTTTGTTTGAATGAAATGTGATTGATGGAGTAATTGATTAACTGAATGACGTTTAAATGAAGTTGGGGCAAGAAAAGGAATTGGTGATTTTTTTCTGAGTAAAGAATCATTAGAAGGAGAAGTATCAAGCCTAACAATTTGTGAACAAATTGAAGGAGAAGGTGTTGGAGAAGATATTGGTACAGAAAAAGGAAAAGGTAAAACAGAAGAGAAACATGTACTAGGAGGTGATAATAATTCTGTAAGATCAGTTTGATTTGATACTTTTAATTCTAATGCTTTAGGAAGACTAGATACTCTTTTTTTATTAGGAATTAATGAATCAAAAATAGAAGGATAGAAAGTATTAATTGGATTTAAAGAATATTGATTAACAATATCATAAATAATTGAAGTAGAATGATCTAATTTTCCTTTACTAATAATAAGTTTTCTTGTTGTAACTAGTTCTTTTCTTATTGGTTCTGTTGTTTCAATTAATAATTTAGAAAAATTTTCCATAAAATCAGCTAATGTTGCTGATTTATTAATTAAAGGAAAAACGAATTCTGACATATTAGAAATATTATCATAAAACCCATCTGTTACTGTAAGAATTTTATCACCTAATTCACTTTTTATTAATGAAAGAACTGATCCTTTTAAATCTGGAAAGTAATCATTTGCTGCTCCAAGACTACCTGTACAATTTTGAATCTCTTTAACTTTTGTTCGATTAATTCCACATAATGAAATAGCTTGTTTTGATTTCATTTTAATATAAAATGCACGACAATCACCAACAGAAAGAAGTAATGTAAATGGTTTAACTCCTTTTTTACTATTTTCTACATAAATTGTACATGTAACTAATAACGTAGTAATACCAATATGCATTGGGGATTGTTTTTCTTTAATAATCTATTTTTGATTAACTCATTTATATTTAAAAATAGATAATGACAAACATTATATTGTGCATGTGCAAATGACTCAACTAATATTCGTGCAATATCAGTTGTTGTTTTTGCCATTTTAATTGAAAGTGATAAATAATCTAAACACCCTGAAACAGCACTAATGGCTGCTTTTGCAGATTTTTCTCCCCATCCACAACCATCTGCAATACACGAAATAAATGCATTTTTATATCTTAATACTCCTGCTTTATCACAAACAGGATCACCATCTTTTTTATTATTAACAACTGCGTATGTAGAAAATGTTGTCATTGCAAATTCATCACTTGAACGAATGGTATAACTAAACGTTGGTTGAAAAATTTTAGTAAAATCTCCTTGAATTAATTGTATTTTCTTTTCTTTAATACCCTCGATCATTTTTTTAAAATTCTTCGAGAAATACTTTTGAATAAGTTCAATCGATGGAGCATTCATTTAAGGTTTTCAAGATTAAAGATTTTTCTGAAGAAGATAAAAAATCTCAGTTTTATTATTTGAGACAAATCGTTGCTGTTCTTACAAAAAGTTAAAAACTTCAGTTATTATCTTCTCAGTTTTTATTTATAAATTTATCCTTTTATTCTTTTTTTTTTTTTTTTGATGTAAATTTCCTCATCTACCCCTCTTTTTTTTTTTTTTTTTAGGTTTTTGCGATAACCAATAACGAGAAATTCATCGCATTTTTTCGTTTTCATTCTTTTTGATATCTTTTTTTTTTTTAAATAATTTTTTGTTATTATTCATTATTTTATTTTTATTTTTAATAATTAATTTTAAGTTATAATAAATAATAATAAATATTATTACAATTGAAATATTAAAAGTGTATAAAAAAATAATTAGAAATAAATGAAATAAAAAATAAAAAGAAAACTATAAAAATATAAAAATGAGTTTCTTTAAGGCACATTATACGTACAACCCAAATGGAGATAAATATAAATTCGATCAATTATTATTTGTGAGAGATAGTGAATTTTTGAGGTGTTATTGTGCTGAATTTGTAAAAGGAAAAATGGCACCAGAATGTAATACAAATGCACGACTTCTCGTAGAATATTTTAATGTTCATGGAAAATTACTTGATTTAATGAAAGAAGTTGCAAAAAGAGAAATAGAAACGACGAATTCAGAAACACAAGTGTTTAGAGGAAATACATCATTTACACGATTATATGGAGAATATTGTCACCTTTGTTTATTACCATATTTAAGAGCTGTAACAAAAGAAGTAATTCAATTATTAATTAATGAAGAAACTAAACTTGATCCAGAAGCATTAAACAGTCCTGAACTTGAAAACCATAAAGAATCAATGGATACATTTTGTAAATTAGCTCATATGTTTGGAACAAAATTAGTTGATTGTGTTCATTTATTACCATCTCATTTTCATCAATTACTTCGTTTTATTTCAGTAGAAGTTGGAAATAAAAAATCAGTAAAATCAACACCACAAAATACTTTTAACTTATTATTCTTTATTAGAACTGTATTTCCTGTATTTCATGCACCTCAACACGTTATGGATACTATTCAACCTCCTTCACCTGAAATGGCTAAAAGATTAACTGCTTTTAGTAAGACATGTCAATCACTATTAAACGAAACAACAACTTCATCATCTATTCCTTTAGACATTGCTAATTTTATGACTTCTTCTGCATCAAAATTATTTGAAATGTTTACTCATCCTCGTTCTGGTTATATGACAGAAAAAAGTGGATTAGATTTTTCATTACAAGCAAATGCACATAAAAATATAGTTGAATTGGTTCGTTCAAATATTGAACCTTTAACTGCTTTAATGACTAGAGATGTTCAAGCTTTAAAAGATGCTTTAAAATCAGAAAAAAATGAAGATAGTGTTATGACGGAAATGCAACAGTCATTGGAATTTTGTAGTAACACATACAGTGAACGTCTTCAAGCTGTTGAAGATGAAATTACTGATTTAAATGATGAAATAGAAAAATATAAGGCCCAACTAAAGGCTGTTCAAAAAGCTATTGAAGATGAAGACGAACTTACTGCCAAATTACAAGAAGAAATTAATCGTCTTGAAAATGAATCTTCTAAAGCAAATACCCCCACCGCCTCTCCTCGTTCATCTACTAGAGACAGTAATAGTGATGCTGCTCTAAGAGAACATTCTTCTGAAGATATTTAATTAACTATTACAGTAATATATTTTTGTAATATATGACATAAAATTATTGTTTTTTTTTTAGTCTAATCTATTTTTTTAAAAAAAATAATTATTTCAAAAGAACTATTTCTAATGGACCGATACTCTTTGTTAAGAATAAAAATAAATATGAAACACTTCGGGTTTGATATATTCATGAAAATAATCTAAAAATACCAAAAATAAAAAAAAAGAACTGATAAAAAGGAAAATGAGTGGAAAAGAAAAAAAAGAAGATAAGGAGAAAGAAATAAATAGAAAGTGTATCTTTATTCAATTCTAATTGAGATTACAGGAAGAACTTTATAAAAAAAAAAGAAGAACTTAAATTACCCCTAAAGAAGAATGAACCAATCAAATAAGAGATACAAGAGAAAGAATGAAACAAAGTTCAATCAGGGACAATTAAAATTAAAAAAAAAGGGCCAGTATAAAAAGAAGGGTTTAAACTAAAATAAACAATAAAACAAGGGAATGAGTAATTCAGGAGATAAAAATGAATATGAAGAAATACTTAGAGAAAGAAAAAGGATGTCAAGAAATGAAGAGACATTAGTATATAATGGATTACTTTATCTTCTAGTTAAAATGGGATTTGATGCACAAGTAAAAAAAACAAAAAAGACTATTCATACAATTAAAATGTTAATTGTTGAAGAAATAAAATATAGACCAACTGGAAAAGTATTAAATCAAGCAGAAATTGCATATTTTTCACAATTTTTATTATCAGATTTAGGTTATATTCCATTAAAAGAAAATTCTATGACTTTAAAACAATTAAAAAGGTCAAGAGAAGCTCAATTAAATAATGCACTTTTATACATTCTTTCTTCTATTGGATTTACTTTCGATGAAAAGAAAAGTAAAAAATCTAAATGTACTGAACGTCTTATTAGAATATTAAGATTAGAATATAAAGGATTTGTTTTTAGTAAACAACTTCTTTGTAAATTAGGTGAATCTATTGAACAAACTGAAAGAGAACAACTTGTTGGGTCTATTGTTACTATTACTAAAGAATCTTTGAATGATTTTGATATTAAAATACCTTCTTGTTCTTTTGATTCAATTTTAAATAAAGCAATTTCAGTTCAATATACTCCTAAAATTAAAAAACAAATTAAGGCTATTAAAGATGTTAATGAACAACTCATTATTAATGTTTCTGATAAAAAAGAAATGTCAATTAAATCAGAATCAATTGAAACAGTAAATGACAATTCTCTTAATCAAGAAAGAATTATTTCTACTCCAAATAATACTTATCTTTGTCATTTTCAACCTGTTGTTCTTCCACCACAATTGATAATGAAATATTATTCTCAAATACAACAAATATCTTTTAATATTTCTGATATCAATCAAAGTAATAACATCAATTATAATCCAAGTTCATTTATTTATTATAATGAACCATATTATTATCCTCAACCAGAATATATAGACTTAGGATTTGTTCAAGGGTCTTATTGTTGAAAAAAAACCATATTATTTGTATTGTAATTTAATAAATATATTTTTTGTGGGTTTTATCAATTAAATTAACACAGATAATGAATAAGATTTAAATAATGGAAGAAATTCTTCTATCATTTTTGTTTGACTCATATTTGCTTGTATTTGTGATTTAGAGTATTCATCAAATTTTGGTTGTAATTGAATTAAAATATCTTTATTCTTTTGAATAAAAATAGATAATTCTTTTTCGAGAGATTCTTTCATAGTATAATCATCCTATAATTGGTGAATATTAATTATTATTATTTTATATTCAATAACAAACAACAGAATGAGACGTTAGTACTACAATAATATAATGTTCTATTTGTGCAGAATATAAATCTTCTAATATTTCTACTGTTTTACTTCTTCTTGATATTACAGATCTTTTTGATAATGTCAATTTATGAAATGATGGTTGATTTCCTTCTTTTACAAAACTTTTTGAAAATGAATGAAGTGATAATGCTAATCGTTGTAATAATTCATAATTAATTTCATTATCAATTACCCATTTTATATTGTTTATATAAAGACATGTATTTGATTGACACTCACCAATAATAATAATATGTTTTTCAATTAATTGTTGGTTAATATTAGCCATTTTAATAATTTTAATTTTAGTTCTTATTCTTTCTTTTTTCTTTTCCAAAATTCTTTATTAAATTCCTTTCTTTTTGTTTCATTTTTATTTTCAAACAATGTGGTGTATCATCTTCTTATTTGTAATTCAATATGTCAACTCCCTTCATCCATTAATGAAACAAAATTTAACGAAAGAAGACGTTTTAAAATATAGAACCAGTGAGTATTCTCCAAAACAATTTAATGGAACATTACTAACTTATATTACTCCATGGAATTTGTATGGACTTAATTTGCTTGAAAAAAATAAACATAAAATTGATATTGTTTCACCAGTTCTTTTTACTATTCAAAGTTATAATGGAAAAAATGAAATCATTGGAGAAGACGAATTGCAAATTGTTGGATATCCCCGATATACATTTAACAGTATTACAGGTGACCTTAAAAATGTTGGAAAATTAATCAAAGAACATTGTATAAAACATTCATCAATTTGTAATGGAATAATGATTGATGGTATATATACATTATATCGGTATTATAAAAATGAAATGGGGAAACAATTAGTGTCAATGTTTGAAGAATTAAAAAATTTTAAAATTGTTATAGCAATTCCACCGATGTCTATTTTCACTGAATATGAAATAGAATTAACAAAAAAATATGTTGAACTATACGTAGTCATGACATATGATTATTTTTATAGAGGAGGAATTTATAATTCACCACTATCTTTTATTGACTCTTCAATGAAATACATCAAAGCTAAAGGACCACAATTTGCTATTGGAATTAATTTTTATGGTTATGCCCATTGTAAAAATAAACAGCCAGTTGTTGTCGACAGAAAAACATATTATGATTGGGTTAAATTATCAACTGGACCATTTAAATGGAATGAACCTGAAAAAGAACATATATTCACCGTCCAAGATTGTATGATTGATTACCCAACATTAGAATATATTAAAGTAAGAATAAATTATGCAATAAAAAATAACTTTAGTATTGGTATTTGGGAATTAGGACAAGGTTTAGATTACTTCATGGATATTTTTTAAACTAAATAATAAAATTTTTATAATTTTATTTATTAATAAAAAAGAAAAAAAAACAATAAAATGATTTAAGTTGTAAAAAGGAATCAATTAAACGTTCTGAATAGTAAGGTGTATTTAATTAAAATATAATATTTATATAACTAACAACATGAGTCTTTTTGATTCGATAAATTTTGATTGTTTTGTTTAATTTGATTTAAATTAATTTGACTAATTTCAACAGTACTTTGTTTAGTAGAATTGTTAATTAAAACATCTTCACATAATCTAACAAATGCATTTTCAACATTTGATGCATCTTTTGCACTTACAAAAAATGATGGAATATTTTTCTTTTTACACCACGTATCTAATCTGTTTGATGTTACTTGCCATTCTATTGGATCTAAATCACTTTTATTTGCTACTGCAACAAATGGAACATTATATCCAATATGATTTGTTATATCATTCATCCAACTTTCAAAACTATTAAATGATTCTATTGATGTCACTGAACAAACTAATACACATCCATCAGTCCCTCTAAAAAAACTGTCACTAATACACCGAAATCGTTCAGTTCCACTTGGGTCCCATATTTGTAAGGATACTAACTGATCTTTAACTGACATCGCTTTAGTTGATAAATCAACCCCAATAGTCGATTTGTATTCACTAGAATATTTCCTATTAACAAACTGATTAATTAATGATGTTTTTCCAACAAATGAATCTCCAAGAACGATAATTTTAAGGGTTATTCGTTCAGTCATATCTCTGTTTAATCTACTAATCTATTTCTTTTTTGTTTTTTTTCTTTTTTCAATTCTTTGTTTTATATACCATTTTATTCTTGTTTATCATTCAATTTTTATAGTTCTTTTGATAAATCTTATAAATATTTCATATTTTCTGTGAAGAAAATAAATGACTTAAAATAAAAACTTTCATTTTTGTTTCTAATAATAATTATCTTGATTATATTAAAAACTCTTCGTTTGTGGTGTTGAATACCATGGTAAACATAATTCATGGTTATTATTCTTGTTATAAAGCATTGTTAATTTGAGCTGTGTTACTTTAATTAAATAATGGTTTTATTGCAAAGTTTATGTTTATACGATAATTTACTATTACCTCATTACACTTAATTAAAATACTAATGCTATTAACCAAATTCCTTTAATCAAATAAAGTACATAATTTGACAACTTGTAATAAAAAGTAATTCTATTGTACAAAGTGTTAACAATTATTATATAGAAGATATAAAGACTTAAACAATAAACAAACACCTTTCAAATTTTATTTTAAACTCTTTCTCAAACAAAAATGAAAAATGAAATAAAAAAACTTAATTTGATTAAGAACATTTAAATGAGCACTAAAATTAATGTTTGTATTAAGAAAAAAACAAAAAAAACGTCCTGTTTTACAAATGAAGAAGACGGTTCACAACAAAAAAGAGAAGTATGCTCAAAGCCAATTAAAAATATTCAGTTTGTTTTTCTCTTATTTATAAAAAATATTAATAAAAGGACCGTTTCATTACTTCTAGAAAAGACGATTTAACGCCATCTAAACTGAATAAAACCATTAGCCCTATTCCTCTTCCTCCTTCTATTCATGGTAAATCAGTTTTAGAACAAATGAAAGAAAAACAAAGTCAATATAACCACTCTCCGTCAATAACTTTTACTGAAAGATATCGTTCGTTACCATCAGAAGTTAATGTTGAAGAATATGAAAAAATTCCTATAGAAAATTTTGGGATAGCAATGTTAAAAGGAATGGGATGGAAAGAATAAAAATAAATAAATAATATAAAAAATAAAATTATGATATTAAAAGAATTATTAAATTATTCATTCATTTTTAATTTTTTCAATTAATTTTTTGCAAGAATCAAAACATGAACTGTCTGAATCACAGGTAAGAAGAATACATGTGGTTGGATGAGTTGATCCTGCAACTTGTCCAAGTGCTTCTCTTGTTTTAACATAAATATAAGCAATTCCTTTTTCTTTCATATAACTAGGAATATGTGAAATAATATCAAGTGGAGTAACATCTCCAGCAAGAACACACAACCAATTTTTCATTTTTTCTGCATCTTTCTCTTTTTTAACAGTTTTCATTGTGTCTTTAATTCCTCGTTTAATACATTTAGTTTCAACAGCTTTCTTAATGAGTTTGTGAAGTTTCTTTTCTAATTTATCACTTGCTAATGGTGTAGCAATTGGAAGTAAATGAATGTGTTTATCATTACTTTCACTTGATGACATTTGAAGGGTTTTGTGTTTTTTAGTTCATTCTTTTTGGTTCTTTTATTATTTTTGTTTATTAATATATTTTGCTATTTATTTTTACTATTTCTTCTTTGAAGTAGAACATTTTTTCATCTCATTTTAATGCGATACTTTAAATTGATAAAATGCATTTTATTATTAATTTGATTCTCTCTATTCTTATTCCTATTTTGGCGGTGATAAAAGGTTCTCTAACTCTTGACGGTGCTTTAACTGCTGGAATTACTTTTATGGTTCATTTAACGGTTGGAATATCTCCAGCCGTATTTATTATGGCATTTTTCCTTACTTCATCCATTCTAACAAAAGTTGGAATGAATAAGAAAAGAAAGTTAGAAGAAAAGTATGTTGAGGGTTTGTTGTAGTTAATCAGTTCTTTTAAAATGAACAGTCATTTATTTGTGAAGAATCAAAAAGGTCATCAATTCAAGTTTTATGTAATAGTTTACTTGCAACAATAAGTTGTATTATGTTGTTACTTACTGATGCACCAAATGGAACTAGTGCATGTTTTGGATTATCTTCGTTTCAAGTTTTTTTGTATGGAATTATTCCTGGATTTTATTCTTGTACCAATGGGGATACATGGTCTTCTGAAGTTGGGATTTTGAGTAAAACACACCCATTCCACATTATTACATTCAAACAAGTTCCTGCTGGTACTAATGGTGGTGTGAGTTCTCTTGGACTTATTTCTGGATTTTGTGGGTCGCTCTTGATTGGATTGATTGGGGGACTGGTATTTTTGATGAATTGTCCATTTGACATAACTCTATTTATATTGACTTCTTCTTCTATTACAATCAGTGGAGTAATAGGAAATTTATTAGATAGTATTCTTGGGGGAACACTTCAATACTCTGGTTGGGATGAAAAACGAAAATGTGTTGTACGTAAGTCAGGAGATAATGTAACAAGAATTTCAGGGGTTGATGTTTTAAGTAACTCAGCTATTAATTTTATAACATCCTCAATGTCTGGTATTATCTGTGGATGTCTTTTCCTCTATATTCGTTATATTTATTAAACCTCTAAAAGAAGGCATGAATTTAATTTTTAGTGAAAAAGAATTTACTTAATTTAATCAGTTTTGATTTGTTTTTCATTTGTGTCTTTTAGTTGGGATTTTTCTTTGATTTCCTTTTCATCTTGGTGAGATTCTTTCTTTTTGTTTTTAAAAGTATAATAGAGAGATCTTATAATCAATAGAATTGTTGGAAGATTTGATTTTACTTGGTTTTCTAACAAATAATTTCTTTTTTGAATGATAACATCTATTGAATTGCCAATTCCTAGAGCAAAAATTGCTAATGTTAATGCTAATACATTATATGGCATAGAGAAATCAGGAGCTGGAAGTCCCACTAATAAGTTATTACTGATAATAATTTCTTGTGTTGATAATATACATTCTACAGATGGAACATCCCATCCACGTTGAGGTTCTTGAGAGTGTAATGATCGATGTTGGAATACATAAGATACGTCTATTTCAATATTTAATGTTGAAAGTGAAGGTATTTGAATATTAATTGGTATACTTACAGCACTTGATTTTTGAATAGCTTTATGAGGAAGAACAGAATGACAAGAAACAATCCCATCATTAATAAAACATTTTAACTTTTTTGGATTGAGGAAATTAGGAATTGAAATAACTAATGAAGCTGTTAGTGAAGTTTTTTCTTTATTTACCAATTCATAACGAAGAGTACCATCACTAATTGAGTCTGATGAAGGTTTAGAAATATAGAAATAACGAGAGTTAATAGAACTTATAGAGTCTTGATTAGAATGATTCCATGAAAGAATAAGATTATTTTTACAATCAAATGTTTGAGGATTTGGAATTGACTTGCCATTAACAGTTAATCCATCAAATCCATCAATTAAAACAATACCAGTACAATGTGTTTTGTAAACATCAAAGATATTGTGAGTATGATCAGAAGCTTTTCTAACCAATAAAATTTCTGCAATAAATTCATCTAATGATTGTCTAATTTTGAAGGAGTATAATTCACTTTTTAAGATTTCACTATTGAGAAGTTCAGAATGGTCCATTTTAGGGATTAACGACTTAATTCTAATAACATTTTCAAGACAACTCCAATCTGAAGGTGCAGAGATGTAATGAGTTACATTCATTTTATGGATTAAATTATGAGTTTTAGTTGGTTGAACAGATAATCCTTGATAAGCAACATTTTGAAGTAATGTTGAAAGTGCCAAATAATATTCTTTTGTATTTAAATCTAATGGTGCTTGAAGGGCAATGAAAGAACCACTTGAAAGGGCATAAGGTGCTTTACCATATTGAGTTTTCCAATTTCCACGAGTCATAACCACTTCACTAATAGACACATTATAATGTTTATTCATGTAATATGTTGCAGGTAAATCATCTCCATTAGGATATTTTAATATTCCTTGTTTATGATGATTCCATTTAAATTGAAGGTAATGAAGTACATCACCATTTGGTAATATTTTAACTTCCAATTGTGAAGATGCTAAACAAATAGATATAATAAAAAGAAACAGAATAAAGTACATTAAATTGGATTTAATTTTGTTTTTTCAGATTTTTAAAAAGACTTTTTGTTTTTTTTCATCTTTTAAATTATAAAAAGATATTTTTCATGAGATATTATCTTCTCTTTTTGTTTCTAATACTCTCTTATGTTAAATCACAAAGTAAAGAAGAATGTAGTGGAATAAAAAATTGTTATGAATGTACAATTATTGGTTGTGAATGGTGTAATAATCAATGTTCATTATCATTTTCTGATTGTTCACCTTCAATTAATCAACCATCAAAATGTGTTGATTGTTCATTAAAAACAAATTGTATGACATGTGCTAATAGTGGATGTTATTGGTGTATAACTTCAAATGAATGTCAAGCAATTCCAGTATGTGTTAAAAATACAATAACGTCTCCAGGGAAATGTCCTTCACCAAGTTCATTTTCATCACAAAACACAAATATTATTTCATTAATTATCATTTTTACTATTGTTGTTATTATTATACTAGGATATTCCATTTTTATATGTTTCAAAGTAAAACATCCAACACGTCAACAATTCATTCCAGGAATGTTATCTCCATATCCACCACCACCAATTGATAATGAAGCAATAATTCAATCAGATCTTAATATTCAATTAGTAAAACGTCAAAACGAGGAAGAATAACATAAATTATATTTTTAAATAGTTTAAAAATCTATTTTAAAAAAGAAAGTAAAAATAGAATAAAGTAAAAAAAAAGAAAATAAAATATTTAAAATAAAATGATTTTAGTTCTAAAAATAATCAAAAAAAAGAAAAAAACTATAAAAACAAGAAATAGAAAATGAGAAAAAGATATAAAGAACTTCAAAAGATATAGTTTGTATTACAAAAAAAATGAGTAGATCCAATTCAGAATCAATTATTAATCCATCACAATGTATAGGACAAAATTTTCAACTTTCTGACTATCCTTCTATGATGACTATTTATAGTGCTGTAAGTAATTTAACTACATTAACTGATGATTGTATAGATTCAGGTAGTATGGCAGCACAACAAATCCAAGGTACAGAAAGTTCTTCACATTTTGCACATTACAGTGAATCTTCTTTAATGGCTACTGACTGTTCATCTCTGATGGATAGACAAAGTTCAAAATTATCAAATAATCAAAATATTTTAGTTGAAGAGAATGAAAGTATTCCACAGCTAGAAACAATTCCAGAAAATAATGTTGTTCTTCCAGAAACTGTTGGTGAAGGAATAAAAGAACCATCTACTCCAAAACACGGTAAAAAGAAAAGAAGAGATAAACAAGGTGTTGTTATGGTAAATGATACTAAAGTTCCAAAAGAAAAACATAAAAAGAGAGGAAAGAAGTAATATAATAATGTATTATGGTATAATTCAATTGTTTTGTTGAACAAATTTTTTTTTTGTTTTTTTTTAAAAAAAAGATTTTATTTCTTTTTAAATCTTCTTATTATTTTTTGGTTTTTATTTATCACTAATTAAATTATGAAATGAAAAGACATTTATTTAAAAACAAATTACTTTTCTGAATAAATATTATATTAATGCTTAAATTTTGTATATTACTTGGATTATTTATTACTTCTCAAGGAATAATGGATTATTATAATATCACTTCTTTTCCATTTAATCAAAAAGAAAATTCTACTTTTGTTATGAATCTTGAAACAAATAGAATTTCTCAAAATATTTTTGTATCTTCTTCACATAATTTGTCAATGATTGTATTTTATTTATGTTCAATCTTATTTTGTCATTCATGTTTTATTTGGTATGAACCATTTTATTCAACTACATTAATCACTTTATTAACTATAATATATTTTTGTATGATTCATAAACTTTTTCATTTATTTGATAATAGTCTTATAATTCCTATTGGTTTGTTTATAATTAATTTATGGTATGTGATGTGTTTTGCTACTAACCAAAACAATTCAGTTTCATTATTCTTACATATAGAAAATGGAATATTATCATTATTAAGTTTTTTTACATTAAAAGTTTCAAGAATTGATAGGATTATTGGATTAAGTTTTTTAATTGGAGAGATTCTAGTTACTTTAGGTTGTTATTATCTTGGAAAAAGAAAGATTAATAAATTCTGCATTTCTATATATGGTTCTAAACCTTGTGAATTATCTTTGTTTAGGTTAATAGGATTTGTTCAAATTCAATGTATAAATAGTATTTTTATTATTTTAAATGGGATTTGTTGTATATTTTCATTATTTATTGAAACATTAACATTACAATTCTTTCATATTTTTATTAATTTTTTATTTATTGGTTTTATATTCTCAATAATTAAATATTTTAATAGAGATGGAATGATAGAATCAGAATTAACAACAATTCAATTGGGTAATGGAAGGTAATAGATAATTAAAAGAATGTTTTGTAAATTGATGAATTTCTAGAATGAAAATATATCATTTAATTGTAATTGTATTAATTCATTTTCATCTGTAGAAGCTTGAGGTTTATCTTTAATATTAGTTACTTCCTTTTTTAATCTATTTAATGCAACAATGTTTACAGGTGGTTCAATCTTTGAAATAATAGTAAATATTTGGTTAAAAGAAATATTTGGACAAATTGAATTAACTAAATCTTGTGCTGAAATAACTTCTAATGAAACAACTGCTAAATCACATAATGACTTTAATAAAATAAAATCTTCTTCATAATTATCATTTGAATAATCTCTAAGTAATTCACAAAATGCAGCAATTTGACATTTAATATAAAAAGTTATCTCTGCTGCAATACTTTTTTGTTTCATTAAATTATTAAAAACTAATCTATCATAATGAACTACAAACATTTTACAAAAATTAGAAACTATAACAGGACTTAATTTATCTTTCTTCATAGAAGCAAGGTATTCTTTTAATATTTCAAATGTTACTTTTGTTCCAAGATTTGATTGTGGTTCTGTAAAATATTTCATAATCATTAATTGTGATTTATTTTCAATATATTGGTATGTCATTAATAAACTATTATTTAATTGTTTAAATAAATTATTAACAAATCGAGTATGAACATTTTTATCACTTAAATTCTTTGATATAATTTCAGTATTAATTCTTTTAACTAATAATGCATTTACACCAATCCAATAAATATTTCTTTTTGGTGTTTCTAATGATATAATAGAAATTGATTTTAATGATTGAACAATTTTATTAAGAAATTTTTGTTTTTCTGGACGAATTGCTTTATTTTCACTTAACTTATCAAAAATAATATCTCCTGTTAATGGATGTTGTTTATCTGAAAATGTCATTTTACTTAAGAACATTTCTTCAACAATAAATTGATTTTCTTCTAATGTAACATCTCCTTCTTCAACTCTATTTCTTTTTAATACTTGAACTTGATATGTTAAATCATCAATATCATTTATTAATTTCTCTTTTTCTATATTTTGTTCATTAATATCATCTTCTAATTGTTGTATTTCATCAACAATATCATCAAAATTAATTACAGTATCTTTAATAGTCATAGGTGTTGCATCTGTTAATATTTCTAAATCAAATTTAAGTCTTCCATTTGCAATAGGTAATTCAACTTCTTCTTTATTTTGATTTTCTAAATGAAGTGCTAAATTAAGTTCAATTGTTCCAACTGCTTGTTTTTTATTTTTAAGTACTTGAATAAGTGTTATATGTAATGTCTTTTTTAAATATCTATACTTTTTGATATCTCGTCGAATCTTTTCTTCAAATGAAAATTCTCCTAAACTTGCTTTTCCATCAACACAAATTGATCGTGGTAATATTCCACTTTCTTTTCCACATTTCCATTGAATATATAATGTTACTCCTGAAACTCCTTTTGCAGTTAAAATAATATTTTCAAGAGAAACTGCAATTTTCCATGTTTCAATATTTCTATTACTTTTTTGTGACATTTATCATTTTCTCAATTCAGTTCTTCTTTCTATTTTTATTATTTTATTTTTATTAACAACTATTATTTCTAAAAAACAAAAAATAATTGAATAAAAAAAATTATGAATTAATTACAAAAATTGTTGGTCATGTATTTTAAATGTATTCAGCAAATAATTTACTATACTCATTATTTATTCTAATCATATAATTAATGTCATAATCCTTTTCTTCTGGTCTTCCTCTTTTTTCAATATTTTCTTTTTGTTTTAATGGATCACTACAATATAAAAGAAACAATGCACTTTTTGATTGTTTCCAATATTCTTGACTTTGATATTTAACATATTCAAATATACCGTTAATGCTATATTTGCAACTATCTATTCTATTAATAATCATTTCATTAAACCTTGGAATACCATATGTAGTATAAAGATCATCAACTCTAACTTTAAGATCATTATATTCTTCTGTTGTCATTCTTCCTTGGAAATATGCTTCATTAGAAAATATAAATATTGAATCAATTGGACTTCTTTCCATAATAACATATTTCATTTGTTTAGCTTTTTCTAATTGTTCTTTGAAACAGTCAATAATAAATAATTGAAGTTCATACATAGACCCTTTTCCTTTTAATGTTTCTTCAAGCATTTTCTTTCCTGTACTTGGTTTAAAATCAATATATTCTTTAATAAAAATTCTTTCTTTTTTAGGAAGACTTCTCTTTAAGTTATGGATAAGTGTAGACTTTCCTACTCCAACACCTCCTGTAATAACAATAAATTGTTGGTATTTCATAATACCTTTGAATGTGTTTCTTAGTTCTCTTTCTCTTTGTTAAATTTGAAGGGTTACATCTCATAGAATCTTCTTATCTCTTTTTTCCTTATTTTTTCTGTAAAAAAATTGGAAATTTTTCAAGGGTTTCTCTTTTTTTATTTCTTTTTTGACTTTTTTCTTGAACTGTTCTTTTTTTTTATTGTTTTCTTATTTAGTTACAAAGAAAAACATAAAATGATAAAGAAAATGTTATTTAACCAAACAGTTTAAAAACGTTAAATGCAGAAAGAGTTGAGAAGGAAAGAACAAGAAGATAAGAACAAATAAGAACTATTGCATACTTCTTGTTTAATTTGCCATTAATAGAAATGAATATTAGAGTAATTAATAGCTGTACAATCAAATATGTTGTTGAAAAGAATAATGAATCAGTCATTACTATTTGTTGAGATTTAGGGAAATGAAGAATTGAACGAGCTAAGACACCACCTCCAAGTCCTATTAATAAATTAAAACAAGGACCACCATAAGAAGCAATGATTCCCATTTCTGAATAACCTTGAGAACTAACTATTACATTTGAAACAAAATCACCAACTGAATTTCCCCAACATAGTACAGTTAAACCAAGAATTGAAGAATCAATTTTCATAGCAACTCCAATTGATTGAAGAAGTGCAACCAATTCACTTGCAAAGATATAAACGTATAAAACGCTAATAATAAACCCATATAAATTGATAATAATAGAAGGTATTTGTGTTTCAGTGAGATGCACAATTAAAATAATTCCAATTGACAAAATAAAAGGAATAATGAAATATTTTAAAGGTAGTTGAGAAACAATACAAATAGGTAAAGGAGATAAAGCAAAAGAAATAAGTAAATTTTTTCTATTATCAGAGATATGAGGGGTAGTAAATTCCATGATAAATCTAAAAGGAATTGATAATATTAAAAATATTTTATTAAACCAATTAGTAAGTTTAATTTGTTCAAATATATTATATTGATTTGTAAATATTTTATCTGAAGAAACACCATTATTGAAAGTAGTATTTTCGATAGAAGAATTTAATTCTTCGTCAATATTGTTTAATGTGTTATCGATTAATTTAGTTTTACTTTCAGAATCTAATTGTTCAGAGATTTTAATTAAAGGTTTGTTTTTGGTTATATACCCAATGAAACAAACATATAAAATATAAATAAGAATAAATATTATAGAATGTATTATTGATACACTTCCTGTTGTACAAATAAAAAATACAAATAATAGTGCAAGTATATAACAACTGATATTATGAATTAATGTCTCTGGCATTTTTATATCTTCTTTTCCTAATAAAACAATACTTGCTACTATAATACTACTTACAAAACATCCTGATCCTATTACTTCTGCTGTTGCTAATTCAACATTTCCTGTATTATATATTGCTACAAATGTACTAAATACATCAGGTGCTCCATTTCCAATTGCTAAAATTGTAATTCCAGCTAAATCAGCAGACATAGAAAGATGTTTACTGAGAATTGTTAATATTGGAACAAAATGATCTGATGAGGAAACTGATAATAAATAAAATATAATTGTAACACCAATTACCATACAAACAAGTACTATCCAATATGAATTATGACAATATAATAACTCTAAATAATTTATTAAAAATGAAACATCTTCACATTTTTGAAGAATATAACTACACTGTCCTTCACTTGGTAATACACATTCTCCATAAACACTTATAATACAAAGAAATACAATATAAATTTTATTCATCTGTTTCATTCTTTTTTCTTTAACAAAATGTTTTATTAAAATTCAATATTTTTAAGTTCTTTTTTAGTTCTTCTTATTTTATTTTTTTTAATAACATTTTTTTTAAATTGTGTTATTATCTTCCTTATCACAAAAACCAAAAACATATTAAAAACCCTTAGGGTTTTATTATAAAACCTCAGATAGTTGTTAATTAGTATCATTGATTCATGTCATTAATTGACCAAATTCATCAAGCATGTCAACTCTCATTATCAGGTAATAACAATAATTTAACACAAGCAAATGAAATGTTTAATGTGATGTTTAATAACCCAGAATTTGGTACAGCAGCTATTAACATTCTTTCTAGTACTCAAGAGCCATTAGTTGTTCAACAAATTGTTTCAATTAATTTTAAACATTACATCAAATTAATTTGGGAAAATTTAAATGAACAAGCAAAAGAAAAATTATGTGAATTATTAATGCAGTTAATCATTAGAGCTCCAGGAGTAGTACAAATCCAATTAATAGAAACACTAAGATATATTTTAACAATGGACTTTCCAGGTAAGTGTGGAGGGTTATTACAAATTATTCAATCACTAATTCAAAATCCAGAAATTCTTTCAAATGAAATATCATTTAAGGGAGTTATGTTAAGTATTAATACAGTTGCTAAATTGTTTAGATTTCAAACAGAAAATTATGCACCAATGATGCAATTTATAGAAGTAATATTTCCTACATGCTTGAGAATATTAATTACTGCAATTCAAAATAGAATGTATGTTCACACTAGACTATGTTTTAAATTATTTAAATATATTATTTACACTAAAGTTCCTTCATTCTTTAACAAAGAAACTATTGATTTATTTTATACTAATGCTATTGCATTTTTACAACAACCTTTTACTTTTAATAATAATGATGAAAAAAATGTTCAATGTTCTTCTTTAATTGGACTTATTCGTGGTACTTCTTCGTTCATTAGTCATAACACTAATAAAACATCTAGAGCTACTCAAACAGTAACATATTTTATTGATAATATTGCAACACAATTTATTAATACAATGCTTCCTCATTTAAATTTATCAATACCAAGTAAATTAATGTTTTATGAAATTACATTATTATCACATTGTTTAAAAACAAGTAAATTGTCTAAAGTTATTCTTCAATTCTTCCCAGTTTTATTTGAAAAAATTATATTTAGACAAATTATGGTTACTCATAATGAATTAGAAGAAATGAAAGTAGCACCTGTTGATTATCTTAGAAATAGAGATGAAGATGATGACTTTGGTTCTGTTGATGGAAGAACTGCATCAATTAATTTTATAAGAGCAACTTTACAATATAGAGCAAAAACATTCCTTCCATATTACATTCAACCATTATTAAATCTTATTCCTGTTGATTCAACTGGTCTTGAAAAAGATCCAATAATTATTGATTGTGCATGTTTTATTATGGGAAAAATTTGTGGTCAATTTGTTATTTCAAAAGATTATGCTAAGTATGTGCCAAGTATTTTAAGTGTCACAGTTCCATTATTATTATCTAGCGGAAATACATTATTAATTAGAAGAGGATGTGATTTAGCTGGTATTGTATTTAGAATACTTAATTTCCAAAAAACAAGTATATTACCAGATTATGTTATTAAAGTAGTTCAAATGATGTTCCAACTTTTAAGTAGTAATGATGTTATTGCAAGAGTATCAGCTGGATCAGTAATAGGAATATTTGTAGATTATAATTGTTTGAGTGATTCATTTAAATCAGTATTAGTTCAATTATTTGAAGTATTGTTACAAACTATTAAAGTTTTTGAAAGTGAAAATGTAGTTGAAACATTATCTGAATTAATTAAAAGATTCCCAAATGAAACAAGACCACATTCAATTGACATTGTTAAAGCATTATTAGACGTATTAAATTCTATTGAAAATAATTATGGAGAACTTGATGAAAATGCACAAATGAATGCTACATTTTCTGCTTCATCTGCAGTTACTTCAATAACTGATATTATGAGAATGAACGCAACAAGTAATGAATCAATGAATATTTTTATTGAATTATTCCTTCCATATATTAATAGATTATTAACAAGTGATAGTTTATTTGCTAAAGACAGTCTTGAAAATACCTTTTCTTTAGCATGTGAACTTGTTAGATTAGCACCAACACCTTTACATCCAAGAATTCAAGACTTATTTACTATTATATTAAATGTTAGTTTAAATATGAGTTATGATGGATTAACAAGTGCAGAACCACTTATTACAGTATTTATTGCTAAACAACCAGAACTATTAAATATTCCAACTAACATGCAATTGGTTATGAAATTAATTAGTTCTGTTCTTTCTTCTAATGACATTGATATTGAGGCATTATGTGTATTTAGAATTGCTCAAGCAGTATTACTTTGTTGTGATGGACAAGTTGATACATTTGTTGAATTCCTTATTAAAACTACATTACCTTTATTAAGAGATCCAGAATCAATGTTAGCTTTACAAGGAACAGAAGCTATTTTATATTGTATTTTCTATAACACTAGATTAGCTATCACAATCTTAAATTCATTAGGAGTTCTTAGTCAATTCTTTTCTTTATGGAACAGTTTTATTCCAAAGAAACTTCCTTCTCTTTCTGATAAAAAGATTACGATTATTGCATTAATGTCATTAATGACACTTCCTGTTGACCAGTTACCAGACTTTATTAAAAATAATTTAACTGGATTCTATAATACTGTTATTACATTACTTGTTGAAACAGATAATCAAAGAAAGAGATGCGAAGAATATAAAATTAAAACTGCTCATAATTTATCTGGGGCTATTAGAGATTCTACTATTCAAAATTTAAATGATGATGAAGATGTAGTTTATGAAGACACAGACACTTTAGAGAATTATGATTTTGATGATTATGATGACTTTGGTGATGACATTATAGATGATGATGAAGATGAGCTTGTTAGTTTAGATGAAAGAGAAATATTCTTTGAAATATTAAAGAGAGTAATGGAAGGTGATTTAAAGGATGAACGACATGCAGCTGCAATTAGAAATTTACCAGAAGGATTGAGAAGTGTTGTTCAAACAATTATTATTGAACAAACAGCAAAACAACAACAAAATTAATACAAATGAATAAGAAATTAATTTAAAGATTTTTTAATAATAATAATAATTAATTGAAATAATTAAATTTATTTTAATTTTAAATTATAAAAACTAAATAAAAATTAATTAAATGAAAATTACAATCAATAATTACAAAACATTATTATAAAACAACTATAATTTTTAATTATTATTTCAAAGAAATAAGTTATAAAAATTAACAAACTCAATCTAATTTTTGTAGTATAATTATTTATGAATGTTTATGGTTTGTATATATCATATGTTGTACTTAATTTGCATTAAAATTTATTTTATCAAAAGAATTTGTATACAATTTGTTTTTTTTTATTCCTAATGAATTTTAGTTTTATTAATTTATTTAAACCTTTATCAAAAGAAGTATATGGTAGTATAATAGTTTATTTTCTTTTATTTTTCTTTTGATATTAGAATTATAGATGTTAATTAAAATTATTTCTATCTGTAAATTTTTTTCATTAGTATTTCTTATATTTTATTTACCAATGTTTCATGCTTGTTCATTGAGAACTTTTCTTTTTCAAGACTATTTCTTATCAGATTTTTTTATTTTTACTTTATTAACTATTTATAATTGTGTACCCAAATGATTGTTTTCTTTTATATTTCAATCTTTTGTTTTTTTCGTGATTGTTTTGTTTTAATTTATTTAGGCTCGTCATTACTTTTTAATTCCAGGTACTCTCTTTATATTCTTTTTATATCAGTTTTTTGTGAAGAATTATATCTTGAATTATACCGCTCAAAATGTTGTCTTCATTACCAACTGTATTAACAAAAACTTTTAATATATAATAAAGAAGTCCAATCAAAGTTTAATGATTAAATAAAAAATTATAATTTAATTATTCTTTTGTTATAATACATTTTTTAAAAAAACAAGAAGGAAGAAGAAAGAAATGTGATTAACAACATCCAGTTGATTCAGTTGGTTGTGTTTGTTGAGTTGGATCAACAATTCCTGGTTGTGCACTTTGAGATGATTCACCAATTCTTTGAATAACATCACGTGCTAATGAAATAAAACAATCATCAACTTTTAATGAATTTTTGGCAGATGTTTCTAAGAATGGAATACCTAATTTATTAGCCATTTGTTGTCCTTCTACACTTGTAACAACTCTCTTATCTTCAGCATCACACTTATTTCCAACAAGAATTTTATTAACATTTTGGTCTGCATTAGCTTCAATGTTTCTCATCCAATATTCAATGTCTAATCATTAAACATTATTCATGTATACTGAGAATTTTAATTAAAATATTAAAACAAACTATTAAAAGATTCTCTTGAAGTAATGTCATATACTAAAACAATTCCCATAACTCCTCTATAATAACTTGATACAATAGTTCTAAATCGTTCTTGTCCAGCTGTATCCCATATCTGCAACTTTAATTTCTTATTATCTAATTCGATATTTTTAACTCTAAAATCAATACCTACTGTCGTAATGTACATTGGGTTGAAAGCGTCTTCAGAAAATCTAAGTAGTAGTGAGCTTTTTCCAACACCACTTTCTCCAATGAGTAATAGTTTAATTGTTGAATCCTTCTCTGACATTTGTTTTTTGTATTAATCAGTTTTTTCTTTCTTTTTTTTTTATATTAAACTATAATTATATTATATTTATACAATAAATTTTTCATAAAAAGAAATAAAAAATTTTATGTAAATAAAATGAAATTTTATTGTTTAAGTAATTTTTCTTTCATAATTTTTAATAATGTAATTAATTTATAACCATTAATGATCAAATAAATTTATTTATAATAATCAAGGCTTTGTTTCATCGACATCAATCACAATAACAGGTGATTTAGCTGCTCGATTTTTTTCATTTAATATCCTTGCTTCTTGGATATTCTTTTCTAAAATTTTTTCTTCTTCTGGTCCATCTATTTCAGAAGAGCCACTACTCATTAATTGTGTGAGTCCATCATTCTGACTCATTTCTTGTCGTTTAGCTGTTGAACTTTGTTTCCTTTGAGACTCAAGAAATGAGAAGTCAATTTGAGACGTCCATTCATCAAGAGTGTTGTCTTTATCATCGTTTGGGATTTTTCTTGGTTGGTTTTGAACTGTTTTAACTTCGTTTCTTTTTTCGGAAATAAAGGATGAGTTTAACAAATTAAAGATTACAGAATATGTATTATTTTCATCATCAACATTTCCAAACATAATGTCATCTATATTTTTTTCAAAAATTTGACCGAAAATAATACTTTCTGTTTGTCTTGATTCTTCATATAATTTTGGATAATGAGATCGATGATTTATCCACCAACAATGACTATCTTTAGAAGATGGTAATGGTTCTTTTAGATAATCATCAACCTCTTTTCCACAACGCTCTTTTAAATTATTTAAAATTACATTGATAGCTTCTTGTGAAAACAATCTCATTTTTTTATACTTTGGTTCAAAAAATGTTGCTCTTGTCAATAACGTTGGTGTTGTTGGTTTATAGTATTTTGATATGATGTTCTTAATAAGATTTTTTGCTTCTTTGGTTTCTTTGAGAATTTCTTCATATTTGATTGAATGTAAATTAGTATTTGATCTAGAACTATCACAACATTCTACAATATCTGCTAACACGTCTGTTAATTCTCCAAGAGATTTTACTTTATTTAAAGTACATGATTTAATAAAAATTGGATGTAATTCAAAATATAATTCGCAAATAATTGATTTATATTTTTCTTCAAAAAATTTTGTTATTGGTAATAAATGGTCTTTTAATATTTTTATCCCATCTATAAAAGATGATCTTGATGTTTTAGCAAATTGAATTAGTACAGAAGAAATAAGACTTTTTGTTTCTTCTTTTAAACTTAATTCTTTAATCAATGTTTTTACTGAATTAAATGTTATTTCACATTGACAATCAATTATTGTAATTACTGGTTTAGAAGGAATGAAAATCGTATTATTAATATATTTTGGGTAAGAATAATTAGTAGATGATAAAGAAACAATAGTTGGTTTTTTTGTATAATAGTGAATATAATCAAAAACCTTTTTATCGACATTGTCATCAGGTGATTTGATTTGTCCAATAAATAATTGTCTTAAATTTCCTTTTTTTGTATAATAACTAATAAAAAGTAAATAAGAGTTATATGTATTTGAATAGTCCATTAGGTAAAATGTAGGGGTACTAACAAATGATATCTCTTCTTGAATAATTGATACATATGGTAAAAATTCTGAATTAATAGAAATTTGTTTTTGACATTCTTTTTGAAAGAGACTTAATTTTTGAGGTTCTTGTGATGAAACATTTTTAATTTTTGAAGATACCAAAGCATGAGTATTTTGGTTATTGATTTGGTTAGACAAAACTTCATTGTCTTTTGTTTCTAGACAAGTTGTGGTTTTATCTATTGTATCACGTTGTTCTGGAAGACCATTTATTTTTAATTTTTCGTTTTTGTTATTTTTAGATAAATTTTGATGGTCAATGATTGAATTTATTCCAGTAGTTGAGTTTTTACTATTTGTTGAATTTGAGATATTTGGGTTAATATTTTCTTCACTTTTCATAAGATCTAATTCTTCGCTTTCCTCATTTTTTTGTTCATTTCTATTAGTCATTTCATCCGATTTTATTTTACCTTTTTCTGAGAGTTGTAATATATCAATCAACAAAGTACTATTTCTTCTTACTAACCAGAAATTCTTTGTTATATCTTCTGTTGAATGAATATGTGAAATCCATTTAATATCATTTTCTATATCAGAGTTATGATTAAATGAATCAGCCAAATAATAATGAGAAGCGAATTCTGGTGTTAAAACTCTATCATATTGCTTAGGAATAGAAGAGGAGAACAAACTAAAATTTTTATTTTGAGTTAGATTTATAAAGGCAACTAATGGGTTTTCAAGTTTTAAATAACGACGAAACATTAGTTTTAAAGTATTGATTAGATTAGAAAATGCGGTTTGTGCAACAAAAGGTAATCCTTGAATGTAATGAGTTATTTCAATTTGAAACAATGAATTGTTAACTATAGAGCATACATCTGTAAAACAAGTTGCAGTAGAAATTGTTGATAAATTCTTTAGAAATGTTAACTTTTCAGAAATTAAAATGAATAATTTTTCTTCTGGTGAAGGATTAGATTGTTTCTTTAATAATGAAACGATATCATCAATAAGACTTAAATTTTCATCACTAAAAAATCTAATTTCGATATCTTCAAAAGGAAGTTGTTTTTCTTTGATTTTCATTTGACATATCTTTAATAAATCCCAATAAAAAGAAAAATTACTATTACAGGTAGAATCGATACAATCAAATACATTTATGTTAATACAATACACAAAGGATATATTTGATGAAATATTAGCTCGTGGTTGAATAAACTTATTTGTGAAAATAAGAATTTGATGGTGAATGTCTAATGTTTCTAGTAATTCGTTTATTATAGATAAACTTTTTTCTTCTATTTCTAACGATAAATATAATTCTTCTTTCTTTTTATTTCTTATTGACTTAGCACTGAATAAACAATATACAAAATCATCTATTACTTGACTTATCATTTCGAATAATATAATGTGTGTTGCTTGTTCCTTAAAGTATTTAAGAAATTTAGTGATAATGTTTTGAACTAAATCTTCTTGAAGTTGATTTATAGAAGGCATATCAACAATTTCATTGAAAAATGGTGTTTCATAGAGTTCTTGATAATTGTGAACCAAACTTGCAAAAATTACTTGTTTGTCGATCTTATTATCACTTTTCATGTTTATTTATTGTATTTTAAGATGTTTTGTTTATTTTTTTGAGTAAATGAAAGTAATAATTTTTAATTTAATTATAATAAGTTTAATTAAAAAATCTATTTCTTGGAAGTATTGATTTTGGTCTTTGTTCTTCTATGTCAAGGTCAAGATTTTCGATTGAGTTATTTGGCTGTGTTTCTTTTTCTTTAATGTTATCATCTTCTTCTTTATGTTCATCTATTTGTCTAAAACTATAGGGACTATTATCATTTTCTTGAGGATAGAATAAAGGGACTTGTTCGTCTATTGATCTTTGAGGTGGTAAGGCACTTACTTCTTCCTTAATACTTTGGCTTTCTTCATTAATACATTGTTTTTCTTCTTTTATTTTATGTTTTAAATCATTTATTTGATTGTTATCGTCAGTATCACTAGAATCAACTAATTTTCTTCTTTGAGTTGGTGATTCATTATCTTTAAGTATATGAAGTAACTCTATAGCATTTTGCCTTATGACAAATAATTGAGAAATAATAAATTTTGAGTTATTTTTTTTAATAACTCTGTCATAAATTTTTATAAAGTCTTTTTTAGTTTGTTGATTAAGTAAACCAGAATGAACTTTAATTCCAATAAATTTTCTAGAATATAATCTTAAATTAGTATAATTAATTTGGTATTTCCAATATGATAAACTACTTGTTTGTGTTATTGGTTCATTATAGTATGCCATAATTTCTTCTTTGCTAACATTTTGTAATATCCAATTTAAAGATGAACATTGTAATGGATTTTTTATACAACGTTTTTTTGATGGAGAGAAGAACAAAACGCAATCATAAAATGATTTATTTTCTTCTTTTAATGAAACCCATATTTCACGTGCTTTATTAAAACATTTAAACAATTCTTTTGAGAGTTCATTATTATGTGTTATTTCTATTTGTGTATTAATAAGATTATCTAATTGGGAAATGTATTCATCTAAATAAATTGTATTATCAAGAACATTAATAATATCATATATTGGTTTAACTTGGTTAAATACCAATTTCATTTTTTCGATAAGTTCATTGTTTTGAATTTGACATTGATGAATAATTTCAGAATAATTTAAAATACACCATTCAATGAATCTGAATGATAGTTGTGGATGAGTGAATCTAAGTTTTTTAATGGAACAAGTTTCTTTGGTAAATATTTTTTCATTTCCTGTGTTTTTAAGAAAAAGTGATTTCTGTTTAGAAGAATTTATTTGATTGTTTATTTGTTTAGCAAAAACAAAGAGTTCTTTAAAAAATGATGAAAGGTTATGATACTGTGTACAGTTAATTGCAGCAAAAATGTTACAATTATCAATAACTACGTATTTATCGTCTTGAAATTTCATAACTGTATTTAACGTTTTTGGTTCATGAATTGATACAAACGTATCCCTAGGAAGTGATGGGAATATCTCTGTTGTGATTTTTAAAATTAATTCATTTGTTATTCGTGTGAAGTTAGATACGTTGACTAAATATGTTTCTTGAACAAAATTTCTATCAAGAATTATTGCTGATAAAAAGTACCACATTTCAAAACCAATTTGTTTTGTTTGTATGCTAAAAGAAACTTCACATCCTCCTTCTATAACTTTTTCAGATAATTTTTGATGAAGTTTAGAAATTAAATCATTTAACTCCCTTGTACAAAAATCGTTTAAACTAGGAAATTTAAACTCAGAAGCAATAGGAGAATTTATTGCTTGTTCGTAGTCATCAATTGTAGCAAGTAATAAAGATTGCATTGACTGTTTATTTTAAGTTCATTAGATTATTTGATAATGTATGATGTGTATCACAATAAATAATCTTTTTTGTGTTTTTTTTACTATTAAACAGTGTCAAGAAAACAACAATCAGTGTGAAAGGGTTAGGATTAGGGATTGATATCTGTCCCAGACTCAAATTTTATGGTAAATAGAAGTAAATATTGTTATTTTTTATTAAATTCTTTATTTATTCAAAATAAATAAAATAATCAAATTAATAATATTTACTTATCTTTTTAACTTTTCATTATTTTAAGAAGTCACAGTATTAAAATTACTGTTAAGTTTATTCAAAATAAGGTGTTAAAAAAAAAGGAGTTTAAATTAATTATTTAATTCAATATATAATTATATTAAATTTTATATTTAATTAACCACCTTAATATTTATTTACAAAATTTCATTGACAATTCCTTATTAAAACAACCACAATGTTTTAGTTGTATTTGTAATGAAAATATTAGTTTAATTTTTTTTCTTTTAACTTATTGCCTACAATGTTTAAATATAACAATATCATAGTTATTTTCTTTTTACTCAATAATTTCTCAAAAAATTATTTAATATTCTCGTTTTGATTAGACGAATGTTTAGTTAATGAATTTAATATAATATGAATAACATGTATTTTATTTATTGGTACTTCTTATTTATTTTAAAGATATTACTATATTAAATTCAATACCTTTAATACCATCTCTTATATTGATATTATCTTAATTATTATTTAGTTGGAGGATAACTGATATGATAGGATTCTCTCTACATAACCATTTATGATACTTCTTTATTCAAATGTACTAATAAGAATATTTATAAAAACATTCAGAATATTTATTTTTATAATAAAAATAAAATACAATTAAATCTTTTAACACAACTTTAAAGAAAACATATAAAATTGAATATAATTGAAATCTTAAATGACATATTTAAAGTGAAAATGATGTCTATCACAAGTTAGAATAATTATAAACATAAAATTAATATCATAAGATCTGTCTATTAATATTTAAAATTTATATTCAATTTATAACTTTTTTTGACTATAATAATTAACGAGAAAAAAAACAAAACTCTAAAAACAATATTAGCATTTGTTCTAAAGAGCAATAAGAATGAGATATAAAAGAATATTCTTTTCCTATATAACCAAAAATAAAAAATATTGGCTGTAAAAAAATAAAAGAGTTTAATTATATAAGAAATGTCTTTGAAAGTATCTTTGAGTATATTAAAGTCAGTACGTTTGGGTTTATTCTAAAGATAAAAAATAGTTTCTGTTTACAAACATTATTACAGTTTTTTATTAAAAATTTGGATTTTTATATTTGGAAAAATAAATTTTTAATAACCCAGAAATTGAAGAAAAAATTCCTACAAACATCAGTAGGTGTTTTCTTTTAAAAATCAGTAATTGTTAAAAAGAAATATCATATTTATTGTCGTTTATCTTTAATTAAAAATTTATTAAATTAATTTATATTTTTATTTATCTACTTTTTTTATTTTTAGCTTTTTGTTAATTTAGTATTAAATAAATTATTCTTATTATTTATTTTGAACCAAAACAACAGAAGAAAAGTTAATGCTACAAATACAAAATTATTGTTAAATCTTTTAGTCAAACAAACAAGAATAATTTTAATGGGTATAGTTGAATATCAAAAGCCATTCACCGTTCTGAACTTTCTTTAAAAATGAATAACAAGTAATAAGAAAAAA